TTGCCTCGGCTATTATTTATAATATAACTATTAAAGAAAGAATATCTGTAGAACTGGAAGAATAAGTTTTAAGAATTAAAAAAGTGATGAAGATAATAAATAAATTTATTTGTTCTTGTCATGAAATACTTTATTAAAAAGACTTAATGATTGATCAATCCTGCTTTCAATTTTATCAATTTTCATGTCAAGTTCTTGTTATTCTTGATTTTTAGTTTTTTTACTGTTAGCTTAAATTAACAATTCTATTATTTTATATTTATTATTATTATTTTTTTCTAAATACTCCACAACCAATTCTGCTGCAGTTTTTTAATATTATTATAGTCATCACTAATTCTTGTTTCTAAAAAATCATTTTTTAAATTTTTTTTAGTTGACTCTTTACATGAGTCAGAAATCAATTTTGCTGATTCTCCTAGAATTAAAGAGTCAAAATATTCAAAGAAATTCCACTTAACTCTATCTTTACCACTCTTAGAAGTTTGCTTTTTCTTTTCTCTATAAATCTTTCAAAAGATCATTAAACTTTAACTTTACGTCTTATGAACAAAATTCAGTACCGAGTTCATTAACAATTTCATCCCACAACTTATTAAGTTTATAAGGCCCGCCTTTCTGTTTTGTAAACTTTTTAGATAATCTATTTTCTGTTTTAAAAATTTTAATCATTTTGTATACTCTTTTGTAAATTTCATTTAAATTAAAGGTTAAAATTTTTGTATTTGTTAAAAATGAAATAAAAAAACTTAAATAATTTTTTCAAAAAAGTTTTTAAACTCATGATTCATTGGTTTAGTGGTATTATAGAACCCTTAGTTAGTAGTCCTATAGAAGACCTAATAGAATTCTTTGCATTAAAGGCATACTCAAAAGATATGTAAAGTGTGAAACATGTCTTCTAGACATGAAAACGAAACCATTCACTAGAAATAGTGGTAGTGTGGCGTTCAGGTGTTGCAATAGAAGTTGTAATGACTTTTCCAAGTATGTTTCAATACGCACCAAGTCACTACTATCAGACTTCACTGTACCTCTTAGAGACTTTTTATTAGTGGCTTGTAAATGGTTAAATAACCATACTCATGTACAAATAGGTACTGAGGTGAATATTAAAAATAAGTCAATAATTAAAATTATTGATTTACTTCGTAATCAATGTTTTAAATATAAGACAAAAAATCCAATTCGTCTTGGTGGTGATGGTATGATTGTTCAAATAGACGAAAGTTTATTTAGACATATACAAAAATATCATCGAGGTAGATAACCAACAAGAGAGATTTGGGTATTTGAACTAGTTCATTGTTCATTTACTCCAGCAAAAATCTCATTGCATGTTGTTCATAACGAGACTGCTAACACTCTACTACCAATAATAGAAGGTGTTTATAATTCAGGAACAATAATCCACAATGATCAGTGGAAAGCATATTTAGGAACAAGTAGTAAATTAAGATTTACATATTTCACTGTTAATCACAGTGAAAGGTTCGTAAATCACAACAACGGTGTTCATACACAGAAAATCGAAAGTGTGTGGAACAATTTTAAATATGTTGTTAAAATACATAAAGGAATTGTAGAATGTAAAATTAGACTAATTTTATTTGAATTAACTTTGAAAAATAATTTAGGTTTAAATAAAACTTAGATGATTTATTGAGATAATAAGATTTAATTAAATTTAGTTTTTTTATTTATTTTTTACTTTCAAATTATTTTTTTCACTTGTTTTTGTTATAGGGAAATTTTTGCACTTGATCCAAAATTTAAATACCAATTTATTTGTTAATATTTGAAACCAAAGGCTTAATTTCATAAAAAATTTGAGTAAAAAATTTTAAATGTAAAATATATATGGTTTTTAATGTTTAAAAAAATATTTGAAGATTTTGAAAAACAAACTTTTATAAATTGATAATACATTGAAAATTAAAATTTTATTATTAAAAAAATTAATAAGTTTTTTTTAAATAGTTATTAGTTGGCTTTTATAATAGTTTTAAAAATAAAGTTTTAAAACAAAACTTTAAAGTATTATTTTATTATTTTGAGAATTTTTTGTTTAATTAATAAAAAACACTTTATAACGCTCTATTATTTTAGATAGTCGGCTAAAAATTAAATTATTCAAAACAAAAATAATTATAAAAATAATTGAATTATTTAATTAATAAACAATAAATTAAAAATTTGATTTTTATTTTAAATAGTAAAATAAATATTTAAATAATTTAACTAAAAAATCTTTTAAATGTTTTAAGTGTGAGATCTATTGATGTTTTTTAATAATATGTATATTGAATATTTGTATTAAAAACATTTTACTTATGTTTAAAAAATGATGTTTTAAATGTTGATTTATATTAGTTCTAGTTATAAATTAAGTGAAAATTTTAGCAACTCTTTTAAAATACTCAAAAATAAAAAATAATTTTTATATGAAAAAATGTTCGAATTTCTTGTTGTTAATAAAATATATTAAGTTTTAAAATGAAAAATAAATTGTATAATTTTTTATTCTTTAAAATGATTAAAATTTTATAAATATTGTTTGCCAAAGAAACAATTTTTATATCGACAATAAAGTTTTGACATAAATAAAATATATAAATTCTAATGTTTTTTTATTAATTGTGTATAAAATTAACTAAAATCATTTAAAGATATTTAGACAGAAATATTCAGAAATATAAAGTAGATTAATTTGAATTAAATTATTATTTTAAGTTAAAAAATAATAATAGGCGTTAAAATACAAAAACTAATTAATTTTCATATTTTATCTACTTATTTATA